CTACCACTCAAATCGTTATCACATCACGCATTCAAATTATTTAACAAACGAATCACATTGTCATTCGAGACCTTAATTACTACATTATTTGTTTAGAGTCTTTAGACTGTTTTCCATGAAAATATTTTAACTTACTTACAATTACATAATGTGTTTTTTACTTATTTAACAAGTTATAAAACTCTTGATTAAAAATAAAATCCAATTATGTCCTCTTTTTTTTTTTTTTTTAAATCAAGAAACTATACGTATCCATCGAGCGATGCTAGGAACACCTTGGTTGACGGCGAACGCCATGTAATACCCTGGCGGAGTAACGGCGCCGTTTAACGGAGCCGTACACTGAATCCTGTAACGACTTTCTCCGTCAGGCAAAGTCGGACCAACGGTCAACTTCACGAGCCGTTGACCTTGAGAAAACGAGTGAGTCGCAAAAGGCGCGTTTCCCCAATTGATCTGAATCGTCTCCACGACCGGTAACGGCACCGTGACGAACACGTCGAAGACCTCTCCGTACCGTACAATCTGCGGGATTTCTCGGATCTCGGGTCGGAGATTGGCTCGATCCGGTGAAAGATACTCCGGTGAAAACGCTTCGATCCGTAGCTCCGTGGGGAATTCGGCATTGAATTTGTAGAAATAGTGAGGGTTACTTCCGGCGAGAAGGATTCGACCGTCCGGTAATAGATTCGCCGTCGAATGGTACATTCTAGGTATTGTTCCTGGGTTCAATGTCATGAATCGTAACCCGATTGGTTGATCGGGTCGGTATAAAAGCGGGTAGAGACACGGGTCGGATCCCATTTCGAATCCTTGACTTCCCGCTTGAGCTCCGTTTATGATCAGAATTTCTCCCGTCGGTAAATTCACCATATCCCCCATGATCCTCCCGAGAGGCATCTCCTCCGTTACCCAAACCGGATCCGCCGCGGTGGCGACGATTCGTCCGCAGGTTCCGTGCGCCGGAGCGTCTACTGCGCGCGCGGTGAAAGCCCCAGGTTGAGCTCCGCCGCAGATTAGAATCTCCGCTGTGGCGAAATCTCCTTGGATCGCTAGCATCGCCGATGATCCACCCGACGGATAATTCCTCGGTCCGCCGTCTAACGCCGGATATTCCTTCACGATGGTGTTTGTCTGGTGATTGTATTTCACGGCGCGACTGTTGGCGAAGACGAAGAGGTTTCCGGCGTCGTCGGGGAGGAGATGGACGTAAGGGTAGAGATTATCCATTTGTTTATCTTCCACGTCAGCAAGAAACTGAAACGGAACGGCACCGTTTTGGCGTGGAGGGTAATACTCAACGGTATTGGTTCCTCTACCACCGACGATAATAACCGAACCATCTGGTAATATCTGGTTAGTAGCGTACCAACGTCCGGTTCTCAACTCGGTATCTTGTAGCTCCACCCAATCGCACGTCTCGTTCGGGTCACACGGTTCGAATTTCCGGATCTTTTTAAACCCGTCTCTATCCCCACCCGTTTGAAGTAATGACCCGTCGGATAAAAACTGACCGGATGAGCACCACGTGTCGGTTTGGATCATCAGTGGTCGGATCTGATTTGTACCGAGGTCGAATAGAACCGAGTGAGCGTAGCAATCGCGTTTCAGAACGACGTCGTTTGGGTCTCTCCGGCAACGGTGACGACCAAGAGATTTTCTCGACGGTCCGGTATTAGTCCGATCGAGAAGAACCACCGTGTTGAACCGGGTTACAGCTGTGTGCATAGAGGCTATACCGGCGTCTTGTACGATGAGCTCCCACGTGCCTGGTAAATCGGCACGTGCGATCGAGAGTAGAAGTAGAAGTAAGAGCCCTGGAGTGAAGTAAGGGACCAGTTCTGCCATTTTTGTCGGCTAAGCTCAGAAGCTTTCTGCTTCACTTACGTTTTTAACGAAGAAGGTTAAGTGGGGAAAAGGTGTGTGCATTGTTAATTAATCACAGCCGTTGATTTGGTGAGATGATTTTTGATCGGAGTGAGTGGGATCCACGGACTATAGATAGTATAATC